GGTTTCGGGGGGGGGGGGTTGGGAGGTGGGAAGAGAGTTGGTATCAGTGCTTGAATTAAGGGGCCATTTTTGACTTTTGAGCTTTTCCTTCCTATGTTTTCTGAGTCTTAAGTATTTGTATTTACTTGTTACTCCGTGTCTAATCCACAAAAGCTTAAAAAAATTCCGTAGTTTTCCCTTTTTTTTTTGTGGCCAAACAAAGTGCTCTTTGTTGAATCGTGTATGTTTGCTATCAAATCTTTGGTAATTTTAACGCGGTATTTATAAATAAGGCTGGAGAAAAGTTAATCGGAGTGCTAAACTTGCAAGAATTTTGCATGAAAGATTTTGATAATAAAGCCAGGCAGTTTAGCCAACCTATTAGCTAACTTTTTAGCTATAAATACGTTAGAAATTAATATATAGTAAGAGAAAAAACATGGAGTTATATTTGTTTTATGAACAACATTTTTGTTCATTTACATGTTTACGTGAGAATCATTTTACGTGATACGGTTGCATTTACTACGTCGGGCGAGTGTGCATCTTTTTGGCATCACGCTTCTATTTAGACACTTGCGAGGTTAAGTGATTATTATGAAGTCTAAGTTTTTATTTTCTTTTATGATGATTGAATATGACATACAACAACCTTGCCCCATACATTAAAGATTCCCCATAAAAATGGCTAAACATACTGGAATCGATATCAAAGCTGTGTCAAATACGCTATTACCAATATAAAATAATTAACCCTCTCCCTATCATGTCTTTCTCAAATATTTCTTTCAAAATAAAAAGAATGTAACATCTTATACTTCAAGAGAACTCATAGTTTAATAAATGTACAAACGCTAATCTGGTTGGATGCATGTGACAGTATCCATCAAAATTATTACTTCCTCCATTTTAATTTATGTGACATGTTTGACCGAGTATGGAGTTTAAGAATTAAGAAGACTTTTGGAGCTTATGTGCCAATGTTTTTATAATTATTAAAGTTGAGTTGTTTCCGAATATAATAAAATGTCATTTGTTTTGGCATAAACTAATTAGGAAACATGAGGAAGTTAGAATCAAAAGTAGTAAAGACATTTCTAACCCCCACCAAATCTCCCAGGATCATCTCATTGAAACAATATAAATAGACTTCCACCTTAACTCAAACCTTTGAATTTGAATTAAAAATGACAAACGTGCAAATATTGGCTTTGGTTACACTGGCTCTAATTTTAAGCCAAACAAAAGCAGATACAATTAAATGTGTTGATCTTATACTACAAGCAGTCCCTTGTCAAGGATTTTTGCTAAGTCAAGGTGTAACACCAAGCCAAGAGTGTTGTGTTATACTGCAAGATTTGAGTAGAGATGCTGCTGCCTCCCAACCAAATCGTCAAGCTATGTGCCAATGCTTCAAAGCTGCTACGCTAACTTTCCCTATAGATATTCAGAAAGCTGAGAGACTTCCTCAGCTTTGCAACTTCACTAGCACTATTCCCATTGATCCCAATGTTGATTGTTCCAAGTAAGCTTCAATTCTCTTATCATTTTACATGAGTATTACTTGTTCGTCATGAATTATGTTACTCAGACTCTCCAAGAATATCGTCGGGTGTGTGTCAGACCCCTTCAAGACTAGTGTTATTTTTTGGAGAATCCCACATGAACGCAACAACATTTTTTGCGAATTCGCGCAACATAGTGCATGACTCACATGTTAAATGAGTAGTGTGTCGAATGTTTGTCAAATGTCCAATTATATGTTAAAACCCTGGATTCATTACACGTTATAATTAGAGCGGGCAAATTAATTATCTATATATAGGGGGCAATTGGAAGTTAAATATGACAATTATTAATTCTTTAAAGGGAGCACCTCTTGAGTATATATGTTCTTTATTTGATGTATTTCCTTATATATATACTTAAATGGTTTGTTTCGTGTTGTTCCTTTTATTTGTTTGACCCTTTTTTGGCCATGGTTTCAGGGTTTGAAAGAAGTATAAAACCATCAAAAAGTAGAAGAAATACAATCCTGTGATGCCTTCTGATAGGAAATGTCATTTCCTTCTCCAGCAATTTGCCATTCTATTTTAAATAAAAGACTGTCTATTGAATAACTACCTCTGTCTTCAGTAATGAAACTCTCTACTTTTGTGCATGGCGTATCTTCTCCAATCAATTTACGCCTTTAACTCGTTCGATTAACTTTATTTATTTATTCACTTCTTTAATTCGTTTGATAATTACAATAAATTGGACAAATTTGACGATCTCCCTCAAGCATTCCATAGTGGACAAATGATGATAGGCTATAATTGCATATTTTAGTCGCTTATTACACTCGAATTTACTGCACTTTAATTGAGTTTGCGCTTTAATCGCTAGTGTTTTGCACTAATTGTGTGTTTTATGCCTTGTATGTGTGATTCCGAGCTATATAGATGTTATGGAATGAATTTAAGTGATTTGAAGCTTTGAAGTCTGAGTAAAAGCTCAAGGAATTAAGCCGGGATCGTGTTCGGAGGTCAAATTTGATAATTAAGTACGAACGAAGACTTGAGGAGGCATATTGCGCACTGTCTAGTAAAATATACATAACTTTTTGCTCAGAACTCCATTTGGGCTCCACAATATATGGTTGGAAAGCTAACTCAAAGAGCTACAACGTTCATGTTTTATGTTTTTCCAAATTCCAAACGAAACAGGGTGAAAAACCGCGGTTTTGCCGCGACCGCGGCAGAATCGCGGTAGAAGATGGTCGCGGACAACTGAAGAATCAGAAGGCATGTTTGGCCGCGGTTCAACCGCGACCGCGGCAAAACCGCGGCAGGAAGCGAAAATTTCAGGGACTAAAGTGCAAAATATGGGATTTTAAGTCCTAAACCCTATATTAAACAAAGGAGGCCGGCCAAAAACAAAAAGAGGACCTATTTTGGACACAAATTAGACCTAAGGAGGCGGAGAGACACTACTTTATGGTTAGACAACACCCTTGGAGGCAAGAACACGCTAGAAGCAAGGCGGGGAATTCTTCTACGAGTTTTTCCTTCCTCTTCCTATTTTTCATTGTTGGTTATGACTTTTAGTATTGTAGTTTTACATGCTATTATGAATAGCTAATTTGTTATCTAGGGTTTTGATGGAACCTTTTGTAGGATAAATTCTTGTTATTTTTATATAATTGAGCCGTAGTATTTTCTCTATTTGTTCAACTACGTGTCTGTTGTAGTTAATTGAGGATCTCTCAATTAGCTGTGCCTATTTAGTGTGCATAACTCGGGAGAGAGTGCATATTTAGGTAGTTGTTGAACAACATCACTCCCAAAGTATATGAGGGATCAATAACCGAGGGTTTAAAGGTGGGATTAGGGATAACGAAGCCTTGGGTGCGATCTGAAGTGAGCTGTATTAAAAGCCAGCTAGCGTAGCTCGGAAGAGTGCGTCTAGTAAATTATCGTAATTACTCGGGAGAGATTTACGGTAATAAGAGTGCTCATGATCGGTAGAGAATACTTAGGCGAAATTATAGAAGACATAGCGGGAAGGATTCCGACAATTGGGGAAATCATAACTCTAGACCTCCTTAATCTTTTCTCTAACCCTCAGTATCGTTAGTTGTTAATTTACTATTTTAATTTGTTAGTTAATTAGTTAAACAGAAGAATCTTAATATCTATAAGTTAGGAATTGTTCAAGCTTGTCTTCTTGGTGATAGTGAACAGCTGTAGCTAAACCTTAGTTCTCTGTGGGATTCGACTCCGGACTTGTAAACCGGATTATATTTGCAACGACTGCATTATCCTTTTTATAAGGCATAGTTGGGCGTGATCAAATTTTGGCGCCGTTGCCGGGGAACTAATGGTGTAGTTGTAGCTGTATATATTGCTAGGGTTCAAGTTTGAACTTTTAGTTTGTTTTATTTTTTTTTTTTTTTTTTTTATAACTGTTTATTTGAGAAACATGGCATCTTGTAATTATGGGAATTTAGGTGTAGATAATTCTACTATTGATCTCCATACATATTGTGAAGGAAACCACCCGTGGCAAAATTTTCAAAACGTTCCTAAGAGCGAGTTATGTGCACCAACTCAATCTTATTTGTGGAATGTGTGTAATGTGTGTGGTGGTAAAAATGGTCACCTTCATGGTTGTGCTTATATTTTTTATTTTCCCCCAACCCCTTACTATGATGGTTCGACCTTTTCTTGTGAAGTTAATAGGAACAAAGAACCTGGGAATGCGGACCTGAAGGAGATCAAGGATATGCTAAAGTGTCTTCTGGAACAAAACAATGAGAAACAATTGCACATAGAAAGGCAAGAGGCAACTATTCGCAAGTTGGAGGCTCAATTGAGTCAAGTGGTTGGAGCTTTTAATGCTCAACAATCCAATATTGATGATAGTAGCCAAGAAGAGCATGAATTTGAGGTATTAATTGGGGAGGTCAAAGCAGAACATCAACAACCTAGCCAACTAGAATTTGAAGATGTCAATGTTGAAGAAGTGAGACTAGAGTCAGCCAAGGACATTGAGGATACAAATTTTGTTGACTCTAGTATCATTGATGTTGAGGATGCTGAAAGTCCTGAAGTTCATGTGTGTGAGCGCATTGGTCCTCACTCCAAACATTTTTCTACATTGTGCTTGGATGACGATATGAAAGTAGAGTCATCCGAGCCGATTGAGAAGTCAAGGAATGAAGAACAAGGTGCCTATATTCTGGAATTTTTCTTACCAGAAAGACAGGACTACATACCTCATCTAAAAGCCAAGAAGTGTAGAATAGTACAATGGTTGCTTGGACCAATTAGATTTGTTCCTCCACCCCTGGAGCATAGCTGAACACTTGATGCCAAATTGGGGGTTCAATTCATAAGCTCGAGGTGGAGGCAAAAAGTAATTCGCGTCGTGCCGCGACGTTAAATCAAGCGCTTGTTGGGAGGCAACCCAGCTTTATTGCTTTCTTTTATTTATTTTTTATTTTTATTTTTTTTAATTGTATTATTTTTGTAGTGTCAATTTTTTTATTTTCTAGGAGCATGGAAAGCAAAGGTATTGGAAGGATGCATCAGCAAACCAAATGGTTGGAACTAAGTGTGAGGTACCCACACGAAGGACCAAGCTTGGGAGAAGTCTGAGTACCCCATGAACTGCTAGTGCTTCGGCCTTTGGCCTACCAGGAGTTTCTTTTACCCTCTTGTATGTATGGGTGTGCATTGGAGACAATGCACAATTTTAAGTGTGGGGTGAGGAGATTGTCTGGGTGATTTTTCATGCTACTTTAGCTGTGTTTTTTTTTAAAAAAGATTGGACTTTTCCTGATGACGAATCTTCTAGACAGTTTTTTTGAGGGAAGTAAGTCAAAAGAAAATACCAAAAAGATTTTTTGTTTTGTTAGATAGTGTAGCAATTACCCCTTGGTTTTTCTTTAAACCACGGTTCTTTTCCAAGGGTTTTATTTGAACCGGGTATAGTTAGTTTTTTTTGGGAATAGGAGCCATTGTGTTTTGTTTTGAAATGAAGCAATATCTCTTGACTTTGTTATGCCTTGAGAATAGTGAGTACTTTGGCTGTGACGCTTAGGCTCAGTTTTTGACTCTTGTATAAGTACCTTAAATTGTATGATCTTAAATTTGCTTAACTGCTCTGACTAGGGTGTCTTGATGAATCCAATCCTGAGTGAGTTATGTGCCATGTGTGTGTAAGGTTTTGTGATATTCTGTGCATTGCATTTGATGCCTAGAACTTGCCCCGTGTGTTTGCAAAGCGAAATAGTAGTTTTATTCAGTCTAGGAAGTGATATAGGCATTTCTTTGTTGAGCCAGATATGTATGTTTTACCCGCCTAGTTATTATGTATCGTAGTTAACCCCTTTGAGCCTGTAATCCTGTTTCTTTGGCAACCACATTACAAGCTTACCCATTTGTTCGAATTAACCATCTATTTGAACCATTGTAACCTCTCATGAGCACGTGAATTATTATGAACTATGTAAAAGTTAAAGTGTGGGGTGGTTGGTTTGGCTTTTGAGTGGAACTAATGAAATAAGGAGAAAGGTGCACTGTTTTGAAAAAGTAAGAGCTACTTGAATTGGAAAAAAAAATAGTTGGATTCTTGTGAAAAAAAATTCCTTGATAAGTGGTGGCTCTTGATGTAAGTGTGCTTAAAGAAGTATGGGGTAATATACACTGATGTGAAGGTGGAATTTGGTTTGACATAAGTATGGGGTTTGAATGTTAAAGTATATGTATTAAAGTGCTTAGGGAGGTGTAGTCACCCTTATATCTAAATGTATCCTACCCGTCCCGTAGCCTACATTACAACCAAATAAAGCCTAATTGATCCAAGATTGAATGAGCTCGATTAGTGGAGTGATAATAGGTGAATTTGACTATAATCACACCTTAAATAATCACCTTCTTGTGTAGTTTTAATGCTAAAAGTGATGACAAAATGCTCTTATTAGTGCTTTTCATGATTTGTAGGTGATATATGTATAAAGACGGCTAAGGAGCAGTTTTGGAGTCAAAAGTGATGAAAAAGAGGCCAACTGTGAAATTTCCTAAGTGACCCGTGCAAAAACAGGCCGAAGATTCAGAGAACTGGATCCATCGCGGTTCCACCGCGACCGCGGCAGAACCGCGGTGGGAAGCAGCTGCAGAAGTTCAGAGATTCCGCGAGGGTGTTTGGCCGCGGTTCTACCGCGACCGCGGCAGAACCGCGGCAGGCGCAGAAACTTCTGGGACCAAAGTGTCAATTACGGGATTTTTAGACCTAAACCCTATTTAAAACATTAGACTTCGCCCAAGAGAGGCATGTATTGATTTTTTAGGTTTCTTAGCAAGGAAAAAAATTGGGAGAAAGTACTCTAAACATCCTTCCTCTTTTCTTTTGATTTTACGATGAATTCAAGCTTAGTTTATTTTCCCATAGTCATGAGTAGCTAAATTCCTTGTCTAAGGTGTTGATGGAACCTATTGGGTGATGAACTTCTTGTTTATGTGAATACAAATTGCTAGTTTAATCTTTATTTGTTCAACTTCGAGTTCGTTGTAGTTAATTGACAGGATCCTCAATTAGCTGTGCCTATTTAGTGTGCATAACTTGGAAAAGAGTGCATATTTAGGGTATTGTTGAACAACACCACTCCTAGATTAT